AACAATTGTGAATGGGAGTTCACTCATGATTTGGCTCTCTGTCTGTTACTGGTGTATAGGAATGCTTGTGATTTTTGCACATTGATTTTGTATCCTGAGACTTTGCTGAAGTTGCTTATAAGCTTAAGGAGATTTTGGGCTGAGACAATGGGGTTTTCTAAATATACAATCATGTCATCTGCAAACAGGGACAATTTAACTGCCTCTTTTCCTAACTGAATACCCTTTAGTTCCTTCTCTTGCCTGATTGCCCTGGCTAGAACTTCCAACGCTATGTTGAATAGGAGTGGTGAGAGAGGGCATCCCTGTCTTGTGCCAGTTTTCAAAGGGAATGCTTCCAGTTTTTGCCCATTCAGTATGATATTGGCTGTGAGTTTGTCATAAATAGCTCTTATTATTTTGAGATACATCGCATCAATATCTAGTTTATTCAGAGTTTTTAGCATGAAGGGCTGTTGAATTTTGTCAAAGGCCTTTTCTGCATCTATTGAGATAATCATGTGGTTTTTGGCTTTGGTTCTGTTTATATGATGGATTATGTTTATTGATTTGCTTATGTTGAACCAGCCTTGTATCCCAGGGATGAAGCCCACTTGATCGTGGTGGATGAGCTTTTGGATGTGCTGCTGGATTCGGTTTGCCAGTATTTTGTTGAGGATTTTTGCATCGATGTTCATCAGGGATATTGGTCTAAAATTCTCAGTTTTTGTTGTGTCTCTGCCAGGCTTTGGTATTAGGATGATGTTGGCCTCGTAAAATGAATTAGGAAGGATTCCCTCTTTTTCTGTTGATTGTAATAGTTTCAGAAGGAATGGTACCAGCTCCTCTTCGTACCTCTGATAGAATTCAGGTCTGAATCCATCTGGTCCTGGACTTTTTTTGGTTGGTAGGCTATTAATTATTGCCTCAATTTCAGAACCTGTTATTGGTCTATTCAGGGATTCAACTTCTTCCTGGTTTAGTCTTGGGAGGGTATATGTGTCCAGGAATTTATCCATTTCTTCTAGGTTTTCTAGTTTATTTGCATAGAGGTGCTTACAGTATTCTCTGATGGTAGTTTGTATTTCTGTGGGATCGGTGGTGATACCCCCTTTATCATTTTTTATTGCATCTATTTGTTTATTCTCTCTTTTCTACATTAGTCTTGGTAGCAGTCTATCGATTTTGTTATCGTTTCAAAAAACCAGCTCCTGGATTCATTGATTTTTTTGAAGGGTGTTTTGTGTCTCTATCTCCTTCAGTTTTGCTCTGATCTTAGTTATTTCTTGCCTTCTGCTAGCTTTTGAATGTGTTTGCTCTTGCTTCTCTAGTTCTTTTAACTGTGATGTTAGGGTGTCAATTTTAGATCTTTCCTGCTTTCTCTTGTGGGCATTTAGTGCTATAAATTTTCCTCTACACACTGCTTTACATGTGTCCCAGAGATTCTGGTATGTTGTGTCTTTGTTCTCATTGATTTCAAAGAGCATCTTTATTTCTGCCTTCATTTCGTTATGTACCCAGTAGTCGTTCAGGAGCACGTTGTTCAGTTTCCACGTAGTTGAGTGGTTTTGAGTGAGTTTCTTATTCCTGAGTTCTAGTTTGATTGCATTGTGGTCTGAGAGACAGTTTATAATTTCTGTTCTTTTACATTTGCTGAGGAGTTCTTCCAACTATGTGGTCAATTTTGGAATAAGTGTGATGTGGTCCTGAGAAGAATGTATATTCTGTTAATTTGGGGTGGAGAGTTCTGTAGATGTCTATTAGGTCCGCTTGGTGCAGAGCTGAGTGCAATTCCTGGATATCCTTGTTAACTTGCTGTCTCATTAATCTAATGTTGACAGTGGGGTGTTAAAGTCTCCATTATTATTGTGTGGGAATCTAAGTCTCTTTGTAGGTCTCTAAGGACTTGCTTTATGAATCTGGGTGCTCCTGTATTGGGTGCATAACTATTTAAGATAGTTAGCTCTTTTTATTGAATTGGTCCCTTTACCATTATGTAATGGCCTTCTTTGTCTCTTGATCTTTGTTGGTTTAAAGTCTGTTTTAGAGACTAAGATTGCAACCCCTGCTTTTTTTGTTTTTCATTTGCTTGGTAGATCTTCCTCCATCCCTTTATTTTGTGCCTATGTGTGTCTCTGCATGTGAGATGGGTCTCCTGAATACAGCACACTGATGGATCTTGACTCTTTATCCAATTTGCTAGTCTGTGTCTTTTAATTGGAGCATTTAGCCCATTTATATTTAAGGCAAATATTGTTATGTGAATTTGATCCTGTCATTATGATGTTAGCTGGTTATTTTGCTTGTTAGTTGATGCAGTTTCTTCCTAGCATTGATGGTCTTTACAATTTGGCAAGTTTTTGCAGTGGCCGATACCGGTTGTTCCTATCCATGTTTAGTGCTTCCTTCAGGAGCTCTCGTAAGGCAGGCCTGGTGGTGACAAAAATCTCTCAGCATTTGCTTGTCTGTAAAGGATTTTATTTCTCCTTCACTTATGAAGCTTAGTTTGGCTGGATATGAAATTCTGGGTTGAAAGTTCTTTTAAGAATGTTGAATATTGGTCCCCACTCTCTTCTGGATCTCTTTCTGCCAAGAGATCTGTTAGTCTGATGGGCTTCCCTTTGTGAATAACCCGACCTTTCTCTCTGGCTGCCCTTAACATTTTTTCCTTCATTTCAACTTGGGTGAATCAGACAATTATGTGTCTTGGAGTTGCTCTTCTTGAGGATTATCTTTGTATTTCCTGAATTTGAATGTTGGCCTGCCTTGCTAGGTTGGGGAAGTTCTCCTGGATAATATCCCAAAGAGTGTTTTCCAACTTAGTTCCATTCACCCCATCACTTGCAGGTACACCAGTCAGATGTAGATTTGGTCTTTTCACATAGTCCCATATTTATTGGAGGCTTTGTTCATTTCTTTTTACTCTTTTTTCTCTAAACTTCTCTTCTCACTTCATTTCATTCATCTGATCTTCAATCACCGATACCCTTTCTTCCACTTGATCAAATCAACTACTGAAGCTTATGCATGCATCATGTAGTTCTCGTGCCATGGTTTTCAGCTCCATCAGGTCATTTAACAACTTCTCTACACTGTTATTCTAGTTAGCCATTCGTCTATCTTTTTTCAAGGTTTTTAGCTTCTTTGCGATGGGTTCGAACATCCTCCTTTAGTTCAGAGAAGTTTGTTATTGCCGATTGTCTGAAGTCTTCTTCTCTCAACTCGTCAAAGTCATTCTCCAGGCAACTTCGTTCCATTGCTGGCGAAGAGCTGCGTTCCCCTGGAGAAGAAGAGGCACTCTGATTTTTAGAATTTTCAGCTTTTCTGCTCTGGTTTCTCCCCGTCTTTGTGGGTTTTTGTTGTTGTTGTTGTTGTTGAGATGGAGTCTCGCTCTGTCGCCCAGGCTGGAGTGCAGTGGTGCAATCTCAGCTCACTGCAACCCGGCCAAGGTAAAAAATCTTTACAATGAAATATATAAGATATCAATGAAAGAAATTAGAGAAGACAAAAATAAATTTAAATATATTTTATGTTGGCCGGGCATGGTGGCTCACACCTGTAATCCCAGCACTTTGGGAGGCCAGGGCGGGTGGATCACAAGGTCAGGAGATTGAGACCAGCCTGGACAACATGGTGAAACCCTGTCTCTACTAAAAATACAAAAATTAGCACAGCATGGTGGCGCATGCCTGTAATCCCAGCTATTAGGGAGGCTGAGGCAGCAGAATCACTTGAACTCGGAAAGTGGAGGTTGCAGTGAGCCGAGATTGTACCAGTGCACTCCAGCCTGGGTGACTGAGACTCTGACTCAACAAGACCAACAAAAAAATTCATGTCTATGGATTGAAAGAATAAATATTGTTAAAGTACCATATTATCTAAAGTAATCTATACATTCAATAAACTTCCTATCAAAATTCCAGTGGCATTTTTTTCACAATAGGAAATACAGTTTTAAAATTTACAAGAAACTACAATAAACTTCAAATAGCCAAAGAAGTCTTGAGAAAAAAATAACAAAGCAGAGACAGGATATCATAATTTATAATGTCAAACTATACTATAGTAATAAAAACAGGATGGAATATGTAGAAAAACTAACAAGAAACCCCTAATGGAACAGAAACCACTACTCTCACATATTTCAGACAGGATGCAAAAAGAGAACTAAAAAATAATTTAACAGAGTTTTTCAGCCGGGTGCAGTGGCTCACATTTGTAATCCCAGCACTTGGGGAGCCCAAGGTGGGTGGATCACTTGAGGACAGGTGTTCAAGACCAGCCTGGCCAACATGGTAAAATCTCTACTAAAATATCTCTACTAAAAATACAAAACAATTAGCTGGGTGTGGTGGCAGGCACCTGTAATCTCAGCTACCAGGAGATTGAGGCAAGAAAATTGTCGAACCCAAGAGGCAGAGGTTGCAGTGAGTCAAGACCACGCCACTGCAATCCACCTGGGCAACAAGAGCGAAACATGAGCAAATATTTGATGTTTGTGTGTTCACCCAAGGAAAAGGAGAAAGAGAATTTAAAAGCATAAAACAGAAGATGCCCTTTAGTGAGAGAAAATTTTAAGAAAATATTTAGTGTTCCCAGAAACTATATGCTTTGCAACACAGATTCCCAAATCACATTGTAAGGACTGGGTTGCCCTTTTTTTTTTTTTTTTGAGACAGAGTCTCGCTCTGTCGCCCAGGCTGGAGTGCAGTGGCCGGATCTCAGCTCACTGCAAGCTCCGCCTCCCGGGTTCACGCCATTCTCCTGCCTCAGCCTCCCGAGTAGCTGGGACTACAGGCGCCCACCACCTCGCCCGGCTAGTTTTTTGTATTTTTTTAGTAGAGACGGGGTTTCACCGTGTTAGCCAGGATGGTCTCGATCTCCCGACCTCGTGATCCGCCCGTCTCGGCCTCCCAAAGTGCTGGGATTACAGGCTTGAGCCACCGCGCCTGGCCTTTTTTTTTTTTTTTTAACCTTTGTACCTCTCACCTGTGTCATCTCTTGTGTTCACTCTTACCTACCTGGGGATTCATCCACCATCTCATGTCTCTTCATATTCCAGGGCTCTTTTTCTTGCTCCAGACTGGTGATTGGGTCTTGCTTAGAGATATCAATACCTGCTTTATTAAAAATAAATAGCATAAATCTTGCTTATATTCTCCAGTTACCAACCTAGTACTGTGCTCAGTAAAAAGGATGTAATAGAATATTCTAGAAAATTAATCCCAAACTACTAATTAATGAGACACATCTCTAACTATTTAGAAAATATTTTAAATTTATAGGTCCTTAATTTTACTACCTGGTACTCATGAATCAAAAACTGATGGTGGAAAATAGATTTTAAGATACGGGCAATGATATTTTATGCCACCAAATTTCTGGAATTACCACTAATCTAGAGTGAAGGATGCAGACCAGCTCAGGAATGTGGAAAGTTCAGGTCAAGATGAAACATGTTGAAGAAATTCTTTTCTACAGACAAATCATCAAGATTTTCTTGAAAACTGAGATCAGAAACTCATTTATACAAAGCATAAATTACCAAAAAAAAAAATTCTACAAAAAAAGAGACATAAAACCTTTAGAGTATATTAAGAATCGTGTATTAAAGTTATTCTCACCCAAGAAGACCAGGTTTTTGTAGTTCTCTAACATCACATTCCTATATAAATTCTGCTGAGCAGGGTTCAGGCATTCCCACTCCTCCAGAGAGAATTCTACGGCCACATCCCTAAATGTCAATGTCTCCTGAAAAACACAAGCACAGAGACACACATATATTTACCAGGTGGCCATGGGCAAAATGTATTATTTGACTTAAGGTGAAATGAGAGAGTAAAGGGAATTGGTTCTGAATTATAACTGAAATTATCCAATAATTTTTAACACAGAAATATTCACAACACCAGTGTATGTAATACTTTTCTGGATCATAAAGAATATAATTAAGGACACAAATGTATACATGTTTGAGTGCTATATTTACATCATAATGAGTTGTGTATGTTTTCAGACAAAAAAAGACACGTTGAGTTAGATGGTACCTCTCAAATTTAAATGTGTAAGATAAACTGGAGATCCTGTCATGAAGCTTATTTTTTTTTCTTCCAGAAGATCTGGAATAAAGTCTGAGTTTTTAAAATTCTAACAAGGTCACTAGTAATGCCAATGTTTTTGACCCAAGAAGACTATTTTGTCAAACATTCCATAAGTGAAAGAGACTGTGTTTTTCCCAATTTTTCTGGCCTATAAACAAAGAGCCTTCATTTTCCGAAGACAGATACTTGCAAAAAACAAACAAAAAAACCTAAGAAAAAAGAGCAGGTGCCAGATTAAATGTGATGGTTTATGCACATTAGCAACATAAAGATACTTAATAATAAAGAGAACAACAATTAACTCTACAGTGAAAAAAAGAGAGCTCTTTAACCAAGCAAATTATTAACATCAATAACACTAGAATAAATTTTACGATGTGCTGACGCACACAGAACACAACATCACTGCTGAGATATTGCCCCTCAAAAAGTCAATTATAGACTGAATTTAACCATAAAGAAAAATCAGTTTTATGTGGTCAAGATATCTCCCATGTTCTATAATTTTTAATAATGATTTTAAGCAGTCCTTCTTTAGCATCCTAGAAAGCAGGTATCTCTGAATAATTTTCTCCAGAACTTCCTGGGTAATAAAAGCCATCCTGTTTAAATAAGCATTTTCTTAATCCTGTTCTGCATAGAACTAATGGAGAACACAGGTGACACCTCAACATTACATGTTCTCCATCCTTCCTAAGGACCCTAGCTTTCCCTCAATAGGAATCTTGAGTACCCACATCTTCCCACGTTCAACAGCCACAAAAGGAACACTTTAATATGGCAGATCATAAATTCATGGTAGGAATTCTGCATTGCATATAAGAAGCCATGATGTAGAGAAGGCTCTGGTACATAGGATAGAAATATTTTTTAGAGACCCTTGACTATCACAATAATTTTTAAAAGTACGTGAAACAAAATCATTGGGGAGGAAAAACACAAGTAGAGAAGTAAAGATTTGCAAGTACTAAACACATGGCACTCCAGCAGGCAGAGTGGACACAGCTCTTGATCTGAGACATGTTTAGATGAAAAGAAGCCATTTTTCCTTTCTCCTCCTCCTCTGAAAATCCTTTTCAGATAAAACTATCAGACAAGTAACACCTGCATCTTGAGAACATTCCCTTAAAGACATCAGCACCACCTGCTTACCTACCAGCCTCACACTCACAGAAGGACCAAGACCAAAAAGTCTACCCATTTTTCTCGTTTATAACAGAAGAGATTCAGGAACAATGAGCTGCTCCATGGAAATAAAATATACGTTCCTCTTTTCCCGTCCCCAGGTGCCCTCCACTGCCACAGACACCAACAATTTTTACTACAGTAATGAAAATATGGGCCACTGCCCTGCCCTGTCCCTACCAAACCCAAACAGAACAGATCCTAAAACCACCCTTTAGTGCAAATGTGGCACTTAACTCTCAGGAATGTATCTTGAAGCCTTCATACTTGATTCTGGTCTCACCAGAGTCACATGAGGCCCTTCATTAAAACAACATAAATGCTTCCACCCAGAATACACAGAACCTGTGGAAAGGGCATAAGTAAAGAGATTTCAGCAACTTTTTTTTTTTTTTTTGAGACAGAGGTCACTCTCTTACCACACATATCTACATGTACCATGACGAAGATACCAAAAGCAACCTCAACAAAAGCAAAAATTGACAAATGGGACCTGTTGGGATAATCAGACCCAACACTAGGTCATGGGGGTGACAAAGTCTGGTGAAGTCAAAGGATTGAGAAAAAGGCAGTTTGAGAGATAAAGGTGGGACACCAGAGGGCCATCACCATCGTGGAGGCTGCAAAGGCCCTGAGCTCTGGGAGCCCAAGCTATTTATTGGTAATCCAACAAAAAAACAGGTGGTGAGAACGTGGAGGTCAAAAGGGCAAGCACATGATCTACAGCTGTGACAGTTTAGCATTTATAAGGAACACGTTCTGCTACTTGAGATCATGGGAGTAGGAACCTAGGAAGGCTAGAAGCAAGGAGCCAGCAGGTCTAGACACATTCCAGAGGACATTATGCAAGCCCTGCCTCAGTTTCCCTCCCAACACTCAGCTTTTTCCCAACAGGGACCTAATTAAAGAGCTTCTTCACAGCTAAGGAAACTACCAACGGAGTAAACAGACAACATACCAAATAAACAAAAATATTTGCAAACTATGTTCCTGATAAAGGTTTAATATCCAGAATTCATAAAGAAGTTAAGGTTTACAAAGAAAAAAAAAACTTCATTAAAAAGTAGGCAAAAAACATGAACAGATGCTTTTCAAAAGAAGACAAACATGTGGCTAAGAAGCATGTGCAAAAAATGCTCACCACTCATCACTAGAGAAATGTCAAAAACAAACAAACAAAAACCACATGAGATACCATCTCACACCAATCAGAATGGCTGTTTCTTAGAAAGTCAGTAACAGGCTCGGTGCAGTAATCCCAGCACTTTGGGAGGCCAAGGCAGGCAGATCACTTGAGGTCATGAGTTTGAGAGCAGCCTGGCCAATATGGAGAAATCCCATCTTTATTAAAAATACAAAAATTAGTGAGGCTTGGTGGCATACATCTGTAGTTCCAGCTACTCTAGAAACTAAGGCATGAGAATCTACTGAACCCAGGAGGTGGAGGTTGCAATGAGCTGAGATCACACCACTGTACTCCAGCCTGGATGACAGAGTGAGACTCTCTCTCAAAATCCAAAGTCAGTAACAGATGCTGGCAAGATTGCAGAGAAAATGGAATGTTTATACACTGCTGGTGGGAGGGTAAATTAATTCAACCATTGTGAAAAGCAGTGTGAAGATTCCTCACAGAACTGAAATTACTGTTTGACGCAGCAACCTCCAAATTGGGTATATACCCAACTCTGTCTCTACTAAAAATACAAAATTTAGCCAGGTGTGGTTACATGTGCCTGTAGTCCCAGCTACAGAGGAAACTGAAGCAGGAGAATCGCTTGAACCCAGGAGGCAGAGGTTGCAGTGAGCTGAGATGGTGCCACTGCACTCTAGTCTCGGGAACAGAGGGAGACTCTGTCTCAAACAAACAAAAAACAAACACATGGAACAAATCTAATTGCCTATTAATGTAGACTAGATTAAAACAATATGGTATGGTCAGGTGAGGCGGTTCACACTTGTAATCCCAGCACTTTGGGAGGCCAAGGCAGCTGCATTACCTTAGCTCAAGAGTTCAAGACCAGCCTGGGCAACATAACAAAACCCCAGCTCTGCAAAAGACAGAAAAAGAAGTTAACCGGGCATGGTGGTGCATGCTTGTAGTCCCAGTTACTTAGGGGGCTGAAGTAAAAGGGTGCCTTGAGCCTGGAAGGTTGAGGCTGAAGTGAGCCAAGATTGTACCACTGCACTTCAGCTTTTGTGATAGAGTGAAACACTGTCTCCAAATAAATAAATTAATTAAATAAATTAGAAGATTTAATAAAAACAAAGTATGGTACATAAACATGATAGAAGATTATGTGGCCATTAAAAAAAGGAAAAAAAAAAAAAAAACAACCAGCTGGGCGTGGTGGCTCAGCCTATAATCCCAGCATTTTGGGAGGCTGAGGTGGGCGGATCACCTGAGGTCAGAAGTTCAAGGCCAGTCTGACCAAACACGGAGAAATCCCATCTCTACTAAAAATATAAAATTAGCCGTGCATGGTGGCACATGCCTGTAATCCCAGCTACTCGGAAGGCTGAGGCAGGAGAATCACTTGAACCCAGGAGGCGGAGGTTGTGGTGAGCTGAGGTGGTGCCATAGCACTTCAGCCTGGGCGACAAGAGTGAAAACTCTGTCTCAAAAAATAAATATATAAAACAAAAATAAGATTAAGTTATTTGCAGCAACATAGACGACGCTGGAGACCATTATCATTAGGAAGCTAAAACAGAAACAGAAAACCAAATGTATGTTCTCATTGATAAGAGTTAAATAATAAGAACACGTGGACACAAAGAGGAGAACAACAGACACTGAGGCCTAGTTGAGAATAGACAATGAAAGTACAAAAAGAAACAGAAAACATAACTGTTTGGTGTTATGCTTAGCACCTCAGTGACAAAATAATCTACACAAAACCCCCATGACACAATTTTACCTATATAACAAAGCTGCACATGGATCCCTGAACCAAAAGGAAAAGTCGAAAGAAGAAAAAAAATCCATGTGTGGGGAAGAGTGCAATGTAGGTGGAAGGAGCTGTTTGTTCCACAGATAGTGGCCCAGGTGGGGCTGGACTCTGATTTATTTCTGTGCCCATCCAAGTAGATGAGATTATGAACAGGTGGCTCAGAACCCTAGGTTGATGGGGGAAACAGGTTGCTGCTGCAGATTCACTATCTAGGGGTTGGAATATGCCAGCAGACTTAACACTTTTGTGGGTTTTTGTCAAGAAACACTAAGATCAACAATGCTGTGGAGAAATTCCTGAGGGTGGTGCCTAGTCCTGGGAGTGGTGTGCACATGTCAATGTCTAGTGGGCATGTTTGGAAGTGGATGGGAATCCTGTGGTGGCAGCTGTGGGAAAAGGGGATCTGTCATCAGAGCTCCTTTCCTCGAAGTTTTCATCCTCTCTCATCCTGGGAGGAGGCCTGGGATCCCAGGACAATAGGTAGTGTGAAAGCCTGTGTACAGGAGAGCAGAGC